TGCTGCCTAAGCCCCTGTTTGCCTGCCAGCCCCTGACCTTTAGGCTGAGCGGGCCTTCTTTCCAAAGGCTTCTGTTTGAGCTGCCTAGGGGCTTAAAGACTCATAAAAGGCAGCTTACCGCAAATATTATGACTAGGCATTTGTGTAAAACCACCTAGGAAAATATCACTCTGAAGGCTTTGTTCTACAAAGGGTTGGGTCTTTGGTGACCTTCGTAGGGTACTTCTGGCCTCACCAGAACCATGAGTGCTGCGGAGAGCCAGTTCCCCAGACGTGAGACCCTTTAAAGAAAAAGCTAGGGGAGCAAGGGGGCATGAGAGCCATAGCTGGGGTGCCTGCTGGTGACCAGCCACCCCCTGGTCAGCACGCAAATGTTGACTTTGGGGCAGAGCTGGCCGGAGATCCCCAGGTCTTGGATGTCTGGAAGGGGTGTGGGCTTAGCAGGCAGTAGTATGGTGGTGGTTCCAGCTATCTGTGACCTCCCGTGTGTGGTGGCAGTGCCCGCCTGCAACATGGGTGACTCTGGGTCCTGGGTCAAAACAAAGCTGAAAGGAAGGCCGAAGATGGATTCTTTTTTTGCTTGGTTTGCTAATTTAGCACAAACCCTGCGCGGGGGGGATTACTAGGTGGTAGGAGCTCGAAGGATGGTGTTGAATGAAGTGAAGAAATGGAATGACAGGAGGAGCCCTGGTGGCACAGTGGTTAAGCACTTAGCAGCCAACAGAAAGGTTCACATTTTGAACCCACCAGCTGCCACCATGACTCCATCAAATAATAATCTGAGCAAATAATCCATGAAGCTGGACTACAGGAAGAAGGACGTGGCATCAGGATTGGAGGAAGAATCATTAACAACCTACGACATGCTGACGACACAACTTTGCTTCCTGAAAGTGACGATGACTTGAAGCACTTACGATGAAGATCGAAGAATACAGTCTGCAGTATGGATTACATTCAAGAAAACAAAAATCCTCACAACTGGACCTCTAAGCAGCATCACGATAAATGGAGAAAAGATTGAAGTTGTCAAAGACTTCATATTACTTGGTTCTACAATCGATGCCAATAGAAGCAGGAACCAGGACATCAGAGGACATATTGCATTAGGCAAGTTGGCTGCAAAAGACCTCTTTCAAGTCTGGAGGAGCAAAGGTGTCTCCTTGACGACTAAGGTGTGCCTGACACAAGCCATGATATTTCCATTCGCCTCGTATGCGTGTGAGAGCTGGACAATGAATAAGGAAGACCGAAGAAGAGTTGATGCTTTTGAGTTGTGGTGCTGGTGGAGAATGCTGAAAGTACCGTGGGCTGCTAAAAGAACTAACAGGTCTGTCCTGGAGGAAGTGCAGCCAGAATGCTCCTTGGAAGCGAGAATGGCCAGGCTTCGTCTCACCTACTTTGGTCATGTTGTCAGAAGGGACCACTCTCTGGAGAAGGATGTCGTGCTTGGGAAGGTGGAGGGTCTACTCTTTCCTGTAGTGTCACTGTGGGTTTCTCTTGAGGGCAACAGATTTTTATACAAACAGGAATGTGAGATGCCAACATTTTGTTTTCTCAATGGGGGCATAAATGCCAGACAGCAGCGTTCAGGAGCCAGAACCTTTGGGGCTGACCTGCGCCACCACCACAGCCACAGCTCCAACTGCAGGAACAGGAGGGTTGTGTGTGTGTGGGGGGGGTGAGGGGGAGCTTAGTCATTGAGAAGGAGAGTGGCTGGCCAGGTAAGGGACCAAGTTTGTGAAGAGTCACTTTGCTACCAACAAGAATCCAGTTCTTGGAGTCACAGAGGCTGTTGAGTTCCTGCCATCTTGGAGGCATGGGCCCCATCTCGGAGGCGTGGACCCCACTGTCTTTTTATTCTTTTATTTTAGGGTGATCTGTATCACTCCTCTCCCTGGAGGTAGGTCCCACCATGGAGGGCCCCAAAAACCAGGCCACAGACTTCCTTCCCAAACCTCAGTCTCAGTGAGGTTGTGGTTCTGCACCCACGGCGCAGGCACACTGGCCATTTTCTGCCAACTCCTTTCTAGCTTCTGGGTGGGACTGCTTTTCTTAAACCGGAAGGACATATTCTCACAGGAGGTTGCCCCTGGAGGAAGGGGACGGTCAAAACCCAAGATGGAGAACATCTCACAGGGGCGTCATACCTGCTTCAGGTTTAATGAAATAAAGGCCCAGGAAAGAGCAGGCTCTCCCACTGTGGCCAAGATGGGAACCTGTCCTGGGTGGGGCAGGGACCCCGAGCACTGGCCAGGCCACAG